TAAAAAAATAATACCTTTATTCAAACGTTTTTTTTTCTTTTCAGTGTCAGTATGGGGCATTGTATGGGGTATAAAATATCTTAGTTTGAGTTCAGAAGATGAATGTAGGTCTCTGACTTCTTGGATAGTTCGGTAATGTATTCACAAATCTTTCAACAATATTTTTGCTATATTCCAGTTTTGCAAATAAATTTAAATAACATTTTTGGGTGAAAACAGCTAGTGTCAGAATATTCATAAAATAACACAATCTGTTTCAGTGCTTTCAGCAAATATTGTAAACCCTCAGAATATATATTACCATTATCTGAAACTTGGGTCTTTTTAAAAAAAAATAATGCTGATCTCCATTCATTACATACAGAACTATTCGACAATACTATACAAATGCATGCAGGACTTCTTTTTATTCTTTAGTAGTACATAAAAAAGAATAGAGGTATAGAACAATAGATAAACACTAGGGACAGTAAATAATGACTTTTTTTTTTCGGGGTAAGCTCTTCCTTTTTTTCAGTTTGCATGTCACAGCAGATTACACAGTTACAGAGTAATAATCATGTAGACACAAAAAACATTTTACACCCTATTCTCCCTCTCATCAACCTGTTCCCTAAAAAAACTCAACAAAAAAAAAAACTAAACAAAGCAAGAACAAAAAAAGGGGGAAATGTTTAAATCAGGTAAAGTGTTCGTCTATGTTTAGACCGTGATACTACCCTACTCTCTCAGAGCTTGTTCTTTTTGTAGCAGACTAACATTCACATTGTACATAAGGAAGTTATTAAAAGGTCTCCAGATGTCTTCAAACACATTTTGTTTCTTTTTGACAATGTATGTGCTCATTTTCCATTGATTTATGTGACGCTATTTCTTTAATTCACTTTCCAATTTTATGTTTGTTTACATTTTTCCAATTAAGAGCAATAATACGTTTAGCTTGTAAAATACATAATTTTCATGAATCTGACCTCTTTACTTTATAGAGAGGGCTAACAGGATATATAGCCAGGATAAAAATCTTAGGATCCAACAGTAATTTCTTTGATAAAATTTGGTCAATCATTTCAATAACACCTTGCCAAAAGGGTTTCACTTTTACACATTGTCATATAGTGGTACAGTGTACCTCTTACCTCATTACACTTTATACAGTTGTAAGCTCTTCCTTTAAGACTTCAAAGATGATTTAAAGTAAATTTGTGCCATTTTATCTTCAGAATGAAGTCCAGACTGCCAAGGAGTTTGCAAAAATCATTGAAAATGCGGAAAACGATTATCAGGTAAGAGCTACAAGCTCTAGAAGTGTAAATCTGGAAATTCTTTATGGTTAGTGCATCTATAGTCCAAATGATACAGAATCCAGTTAAACCTTTAATGTTTTTAAATGTTTTTTTTTTTTTTAGACGGCCATCAGTGAGAACTACCAGACGATGTCAGATACCACCTTCAAAGCTCTGCGCAGACAGCTGCCCGTCACCCGTACCAAGATCGACTGGAACAAGATCCTCAGCTACAAGATCGGTAAAGAGATGCAAAACGCTTAGAAACGACCCACTTCCTCTTCCTCCTGTTCAAGTGCAGAGTCGGTACTCACAACACCGCCCACTCAGCATGAAGAAGTCTCCCCAAAAATGAAATTAAGAAAAAAAAAAAAAGTCAAAACTTTTTCTGTTTAAATAAAAAAGCGGATGCGATTCCATTCAACCTTCTGTCATTAATGGACTTTGATGGGTCTCCGCTGTGGAAAAGATTCAAATGAGAACTTGAGGGAATCATGGATCTAAATTATCGGCAATTGTTGCTTTTCTCATGTTTACCCACTCGCAGGTCACTCAAAGAGTTTGTATTGTTTTGATTTTTTTGTCTTTTTTTTGTGAACTGTGACAGCTGCAATGCTTGTGCAAAACGTTTTGTGTGTTTAAAACGGTGGATAAGTAATGCCTCACTCACTGTATCTCCAAACTCAATCCGACGACAACCCCACCCTCCTCCTCCTCCTCCTCCGCCTACTGACATCCTGGAGAGATGAGATTTCCCGCTGTCCTTCCACAACTATACAGGCTGTACCAAGGAAAGGATGAAGTCGCGGCGAGGAGGGGAACGGGCTGTGTGTTCGGGTTTGGGATGGCCATCTGTCTTAACTGCTCTCACCGTATCTTTGTCTAACAGTGACTCACAGTCTAACTTAAACGGTTTTAATAACCAAAAAGGCAGAATAAATAAATCCATGGATAACCCTCTTTGGTGGCAAACATGTCAACATTAAGTCTTGATTATTATTGCAATTTTTTTATTTGCATAGCAGATAGTAGTTCAGGCTGTTTGTACAAGACACTTGTGACGCATTTGGGGTATCCTCACACTGTTATGCGACAAATCCACAATCTTCACTGTAAATCTGAATCTCTCTCTCTCATCCAGAATCCTGAAGGCTCCATCACTGTTGCGATTGCATGTTTCTGCCACACTGCTTCCACATTACCCTAGATTTGTTTGTCTTTACCGCTCTCTTAAGAGATTCTCTGTAAAATACACTCCTCATGTAAGACTAGCACAATATCTGTCTCTCATTATCTTTATTTTTTCACATTTTAAATCATGCAAACGTAACGTCTACTCAGTAAACAGCACCAAAATGACTAAATGGTTACTGCTGAGCCTTTATTTTTGAAAATCGGCTGTTGTGTTTGTAGTCAAGTCTGTGCTGATGTACGCTTCCATTCTTTCTCTAAACCACCTTTTCTAAAACGTCATTGGAATCTTAAGATCATTAGTTCACTGTTGAATTTGCTAATTACAAAACTATCTAACAAAAGTACATAATTATGTCTGAAAAACATGTATTGGTTACTTACACAGCTTTGTATTAATTTTTACACCGTAAAACCCGATGAGTTAACTCTAACTGTTTGAAGAAACTGATTGCAGAAAACCATTTTAGTTTTGACTAAATGATTTGAGTATGGTAAACTTGTATATACATATATACAGTTGAAGTCAGAATTATAAGCCCCCCTTTGATTTTTTTTCTTTTCTTTTTTAAATATTTCCCAAATGACGTTTAACAGAGTAAGGAAATTTTCACAGTATGTCTGATAATATTTTTTCTTCTTATTTGTTTTATTTTTGCTAGAATAAAAGCAGTTAAAAATAAATTAAGGAGAAAATTATTAGCCCCTTTAAGCTATATATTCTTCCATAGTCTACAGAACAAACCATCATAACCTAGTTAAGCCTTTAAATGTCACTTAAAGCTGTATAGAAGTATCTTGAAAAACATCTATTTAAATATTATTTAATGTCATCATGGCACAGATAAAATAAATCAGTTATGATAGATGAGTTATTAAAACTATTATGAGTAGAAATGTGTTTAAAAAATCTATCTGTTAAACAGAAATTAGGGAAAATAAATGTGGGGGCTAATAACTCTGTTTTCAATTGTATAAATATTGAGTCATATAGACAAATATTATTTGTGTTGATTTGGTCAAATATAGAGTATTAGTAATTTAAACAGTCCAGTTATCAAATCGGTATTGATTCAGAGTTCAGTTATTAGAACAAAAAAATAATTCATAGCTCCGGTTTAAGTTCTGCTTAATATAATCAGTTTGACTTTTCATTAAGTCAAAGTAACTTTTTAAAAATTATAAGCTAAACCAACTTGTTTTATTTAGTGATTTTTCACTGTTAGGTTTTACAGTGTAGAGCTATGTAGAGTGATTACAAATTTTACATCTCCACTAGAGTTAAGTTGAATTGGTCTGATGGAAGCATTTTAGCTTAGCATAGATCATTTAATCTGATAAAACCATTAGCATCTTGCTCTAAAATGACCTAAGCATTTCAGTAATTTTCCTATTTAAAGCTTAAAGCTTGCCTCTTCTGTGATTACCTCATGTACTGAAAATAGTCCCATTAGCCACAAGATTGACGGAAGTAAGCCAAGTTTCAGGTGCTGTGTAAAATATTTGCGCCTGCTGCAGCTGTTGTATGCTGCAAAGTTTCTTGATTATTATGCTGGAATGAGAGGATTGAAAGTTTTAATTTTTCTGTTGGTCTTAGTACATGATCAAACTGTAAAAGACTCAAGCATTAAATAAGAAAATTATCAACTCTGGTCATTTCTGAGAGAGATGCGAGTAGTTTAACTTTAATCCGAATCAGTGATCTATATGCTAACCCAGAGATTGGTTGAATGGATTGTAAAAAGGTTAAATCCAACACTATCTCACAGCAAGTCGTTATTTTTGATTTAGTGGCTAATTTGTATGAATTGGTACAATATCATTTGTACAGTTTTGTACAATTTGCTCATCCCCCAATAAAGATTGGGTTTGGTGCCACGCCTCCTTGGTAAAATTGTACATTTTCATATGCTGAACTAAATTAACCACTGACATGGCAAAATGTAAAACAGTTACATTTCCCTTTAGAGATCAAGATGAGTAAATCCTAGGGGAGTGTAAAATGAGCCTTTATTTATTTATTTTTTATTATTATTAAAGTAGAGCTTTCTTTTAACACAAATAATATACATGTTTTATAGAAATAAATGGCTCAATTCAAATCTTAATGTTAAGCATAACAAAATTCGGGGGCGACATCATGATTCAGTAATTAGCACTGTCGCTTCACAGCAAGAAGGTCACTGTTGTCCCAGCTGTTGTTTTTTTCTGCTGTGCCAACACCTACTGAATAAAGGAACTAAATCAAATCGAAGGAAACTAAATCAAAATTCTCTTGAAAAAAAAAATATTCATATATATATATATATATATATATATTTATATATATATATATATATATATATATATATATATATATATATATATATATATATATATATATATAATTTTGAAATTAACATTTCCATTTTGAATATGAACAACACAGGTGACTCCTGTATGGAACATGACTTTATAATTGTAGCAAATTATGATAAGTATATTCAATGATACAATATAACTGCATAAGAAAATGTCAAGAACAAGTTTTAAACTTATAAACAAAATTTTATTAGCTTAGGGGAAAATACAGTTGGTCTTAAATTCATTTAAGGTCATTAACTTGCTGTAAAAATAATCTAGGGAAAAATGCAACTAGTTTAACAAATGTATTTTTATACAACTAGATAAAACTTTAAAAACTGGTCTGATCAAGTCCCTGGTAAGAATATAAAAATTAAAAAATAATAAGCCTGCCAGTAGTAAAAATCTAAACTGCTACTTAAAGAGGTTTCAATTCAGTAGGAAAAATGGTGAGGTATTGAAATGCAGAAATAAATGACAGTACAGCAGCTGAAATCTATGTAGGAAAAGGACAGATACATGCATCACATTCACTCATACAAACTAACGTCCTTGATTCTTGCATAAGCAAGGTAAGACTATGCTGCTGGATTCAACTGAGCCAATACCTTCATGCCAGGAAGATGTTTACACAAACATAAATTTTGAACCTCAAAAGACTGTTAAAAAAGGACACAGGTAAGACAAGAAAAAGTTCCAAGGTATCCATTAAATTATGACATTTGTGCTTAATCATGGTTGTGAATCATGTAAACTGGTATTATAGGTTCTACCTAATATTTAGGGTTAATATTATATTTTAAATATAAGGCTGTCCAGTATAAACATATATAATACATGTGATACAACCAGATGTTGTTATTAAATGCATTCTCAGAGCATAAAATGTCAACTTGATTCTGAATATCGTTTACATTCATTAAAACAAGCATTTTCAATCTTCATTTACAGAGAAGGTTTTCAGGTTGTTTAATGCTTCCCGACCACCAGGTGGCAGCTTTCTGAGCAGACTGACACTAGATGATGTGGACGGTGCAATACAGTAGAACGCAGAGATTTTCCATGACAGCTTCATTTCAGTTCCTCAGAAAATATCTCCAGTAGTTTGTTTCGACGTGGACTCAAAAGACATGTACAGCAATCGAACATCTTATATGACTGCTCCACAAAAAAGGTAACCATGAGTTTAATATAGAACACACTTTCACCAGACTGATTGAGAAGTTACTCATTAGTAGGTTGGTCAAAGCTGATAAGCATTCCATCTCATAAAAGTAAAGTTTTTACTTTACATATTTAAATTTCTATGTGTGCAGGTCATCAGGAACTGACATCAATATAATTGTAGGATAAATAAAAATATTGTTTTATAATAAAAACAGTAACAAAAAATAAAGTAGTATTTTACACAATTGGGATGAGATGGACTCAGACTAGAGTTTGTTCAGGGATATCAAAACATTTCAAAAAGCTATCAGCTCTAGGTGTACTTTTCCCGACCAGTCCAGTATGGATAAGGCAGGGATGGTCCAGTCTTGTTCCTGGAGAACCACCTTCTAAAAATGTTTACCCATACATGGATATTTCTTGGAATCCTGTGGACTTTGATTAGCTCGTCTTGTTATGTTTAATTACTGTTGGAACTAAACTCTGCATTCGAGAGTAGTGTTGGAAACCCGTTGGGTGGGTTAGGGTTGGGGGTAAATGGTTCGCAAATCCAGTTCTGAAGGATCCCCAAATGTACACATTATGGATTTCTGACACAACCATTTCAATTCCTGAAGTCTTAACAAGCTGCTGAGTTGAATCAGGTGTAAGGCATAAAAATATGCAGAGTTGGAGGTGCTCCAGGTCTTGGATTGGGAACCACTGCCAAGCCTAATCCTAGAGATCTACCTTCCTGCAGAGTTCAGTTCCAACCCTGTCCAACACAACCTGCCTTTCATCTTCAACTAATCCTTATCACCTTGGTCCAGGTGTATTTGTTTAAACTGAAAAGCAAATTCTGAAGCAAGTAACCAAGTTTGCCAGCAACAACATTGGCTATCTCTACTAGACCAGTAGGGGGGGCACTCTGGTGCTGAAGGGGCACTGTCCTCCTTCATACAGACATGAAAAAGATAACCAATACTGTTTATTTTGGCACATCTGCTGAAATATTTTAATTCCAATTAGTAGCCTTTTGGTAATTAATGAAGAAAATTATGCCACCATGTCATACCCAAATTCCTTTATAAACACTTTACTAATTGATTACAGTTGAACAGAATTCACACATATTGGCATGTGGCTTAGGGAAATGTAGATAAGGTTATTTGAAAAATAACAGGGAAGTGTGTTTGATTAGGTATGGTGCTAAACCTTGAACAAACAGTGGCATTCCTGGATTTGAGCTGCACACTCCAGGCATAAGACTAATGGTTCTCCATCGTAAAGCATCACAGCACTTCATAACCTGGGTGTCTTTTTGTTAATCATTTTCAAAGACCTGGGGCCTCATTTATGAACTGTGTGTATGCTTAGATTTAATCTCTATTAAATCTTTAATCTGTAATGTCATTTATAAAAACTGGAAAAGTACTTATTGAACCACCATGTCCCGGTCTGAGCAGGTGCATGCACTTTTCCTTGTGGCAACATCATACTCATTCATTCATTTTCTTTTCGGCTTAGTCCCTTTATTAATCAGGGGTCGCCATAGCGGAATGAACCACCAATTTATCCTGCATATGTTTCATGCAGTAAATGCCCTTCCAGCCGCAACCCAACACTGGGAAACCAACACCATATTACTTAAGCTATACTGGATATCTAATAAAAAGGTGTGTATGTGCACCAAATTCAAACTGAAACAACAAAGATGCAGTGTGGGAGATCAATTGTGCAGTGTTGTCAGATTTGTTTAGAAGATTAAGCTGAACTTTTAATAGCCTAATGTTGAGAGTGATTTACTTGGATGTTGTAGGTTTTACAGTTTATTCCATGTCAGGGTTTTTTCTATTTTATTTTATAAGCGAATTGGCAACGTCTTGATTTAACGATGCGTAAAATCCACAATAAATAATCAAAATTTGTCATTAGTCATTAGGATAAACTTTATAAAGATAAAGTCATTATTTAACTTCATGTCAATCTAAGACTTTGGTTAGTCTTTAAAACCGTTACTTAAACGTTTTAATGAAACCTGAAAGGTTTCACTTCCACCACTGTGTGTTTGTAGTTAGGTCTCCAAAGGTTTAAATGGGATTTTGAATAAGTGCCCCCCAATGACCTTTTTGGATCTCCTAAGTTTTGATTCTAAGTTTGGACCTTCAAGTTTGGACTGATAGAAACCAATTTAATTTGTGTCCCAAAGATTATTCAGGGTAAGGATAGGAAAACAAATTTTAGGTTTTGCGGCAGCTATACCTTTAAAGATAAGAACCAGCAGCTATGACACTAGACCAGGGCTTTCCAAACTCAGTCCTGGAGGGCTGGTGTCCTGCTGAATTAAGCTCCAACTTGCTTCGGCACACCTGCCAGGAAGTTTCTAGTATATCTATCAAGAGTTTGATTCGCTGGTTCAGGTGTGTTTGATTTGGGTTGGAGCTAAACGTTTTTTCAGGACTTCTTTAGCATCTTCCTGACCACTGGTGAGACCACAGCTCCCAGTGAGTTAGGAGACTGATTGACCCCTTGTTTTTTGGGTAAGGATAGTAAAACACATTTTCAGTTTTGGGGCAGCTATCCCTTTAAAGACAATAACCAGCAACTATGACACTAGAACATCACAGTAAAATAATAAAAGAATAAGATAACCTTGAGTTTGACCCACATACTAAACCCAGAGTGCTTTACATGCCATTAGAGGGAATGGAGTGAAGAACGCTAAGAATTGGCCGTGGACTCTAGGGTGGTTAACTAGATGAAGATACTACCAAGTCAAGCTCTTTAGCATCTTCCTGACTACTGGTCAGACCACAGCTCCCAGTGAGCTCAGGGAAGTGGCTGGCCCTGCTAGAAGGAACCGGTGAGTTAGGAGACTGGTTGACCCCTTGTTTTTTGGCAGGAACCGGTGGGGAATGAAATTTTTCTGCTCTAGGAATGATTGGCGAGCGGATCCCTGGTGAAAGAATCCCTGGACTCTTCCCTGTTGGTGAAGAGGCAGCAGCCAGGTTGCGGTAATCAGTGCCAAAGGGTGAACTGTTGGACTGAGGGAGTTTACTTGAGACTGGGTTTGTGAACCGTGAAAGCACCTGAGTGACAGTGTTGCGGGCAATCTGCTTTGCAGTAGAATTGTCTGGAGGGGGTGGAGTGCAGGCAGTTGGTGAGAGGTCTCGAGGCGAGTGGACAACAGTTCCTCCGTGTTGCTGCTCTGCCTCAGCTTGCTGTTGAAACTTGTGGCGTGCTGCTTGGAATCGCTGGTTAATGCTAGCCTGGTAAGAAGAAGGATAGGTCGGACTAGAGCAACCTAGAGAGGCCAAACGCTTGGTCAGTACAGGAGAAGAGCAAGGAGATGAGCTAAGGGAGGAAGAGGCAGGACTGCTGGGGGAGAGACACTGAAAGCCTCCGCTTCCACCAGGGAGTACTACCCCATTGTCTGCCAATCCCTCTTCCTTACACCTTTCTTCTGCAGGAAATTCTGGTTCTCGGGGAGTGTGGTGACCATTTTGTTTATGTTGTGGAGATGCTTTAGGTGTAGCGATTTTGCCATCAGCTTCTACTTGACTAACAGGAGGTGTGATACCTGAAGTTGCTTTATGTGGGATTTTTAGCTTCTCTTCATTGTCCAACCCAGCCTTTTCTCTTTCTTTCATTTCATCCAACTCTTTCTTTAGACTATTGAACTGCTCCAAAAGCTCCTGGTATCGTTTTTCCTCCTTCAGTAGTTTCCCTCTCATTTGCTCACGCTCTGTATCAAATTCAGCCAGCTTTCGCTCAGTTCTCGCCTCTATCTGCTGAGCCCGAGTGCGTTCGCTCTCTAGCTCCCCCTTTAGGCTTTCCATAGCTCTGCTTTCTTGTTCCAGCTGGCGGCTGAGCTCTGCCACACGCTGGCTCTCCTCCTCAGCGCGGGCTGTAGCCTTCTGACATTCTTTAGCTAGGGTTGAGGATAACTGCTGTTGCTCTGCTAAATCTTCCACAGCTTGACTCGACAGGACTGACCGCTCACGTTCCAGTCGCTCAAGCTGAGCCCTCTCAGACTCCAACTGGTGAGAAAAGCAAGAGATGTCCAAATTCAAGCAAGCAAGTAGAGTCAGATGGAAAAACATTACGCTTTATGAGAACATTGAAGATGAGTATACAACTGTTCTTGAGTGCATAAAGAGAGAGGGAGAATAAAGTGTGTGTGTAACCAAGGACCGGACAGGAAAGACCTTTTACATAATACTGCGGTCTGTACTTTGACCTTACCATTACCTTATCCTTGCCCTATAAAAACACAAGCAAACAATGGAATGCCTTAAATCACGCACACACACACACACTGAATCTCTCATGCACCACAGTTCATAAAAACAATGGAGGCTTTCCTTTGTAAAAGAGGGAACTGCCCCAACACTGTTACACAACAATCACACAAAATCCTGAGGCACAGTACACTATTGTTTTTTTGTTTGTAGTTTAAGATGCATTTATAGTGGTACAGTGTGTGTGTGTGTGTGTGTGTGTACAGTGTTCATATGTGATGTAGCAATGTTGCCAGGTTACCTGCTGCAATAGTCTGTCTCGTTCCCTTTCTAGCATGTCAGTTATGTCATCACCAGCAGCGGCGTCTTGAGCACGTCTTCGTTTCTCTTCTTCTAAGTCAGCTATTACCTGCAGCCATACACAAACACATTCAAACTTCAGGACAAGAAAGACAACTAATTATGATTTAATTGTCCCAATCAATAATAATTGATGTAATTAAAGGCATGAATAATATATTGAGTTAATCTTTTGGTTTAGTCATTTGTTAAAATGACAATGATCTCTTTACAAAAGGACACATTTTAATTGTGGCAGTATTGACTTGCATTCCGTAACCTGTATGACTTACTTTTTTCCATGAAACATACAATAATATATTATGATTTCTGCACAATACAAAGTTGTGACTTCAACAATGCATTTTACTTGCCTTTATGAAACGTATATAAAAAATGAGTTTCATCAAATTGGTTTGTGAATCAAACCCTGTAATTCAAACATCTGCACCCTTTCAAAATATGACTCACCCAATTCACTGAAAGAATAGTTGTGTTGAATTTAGGATTAATCTTCAATACAATAAGTTTCTTTTTATTTCACTATCAAACTGAATGGACCAATCCCATAAGCAAACAGGTCTTAAATACTTCTTCAAAGTTTTTTTCTCGAGTCTTTCCTACGGTAACATGCGATGCATAGTAGGAAACTGCTTTACTTACAAATGTTTTGTGATGTTCAAAACCTGTGCACTAATTCAATTCGCAACTTTAGATGGAAGTTGAGTTATAGTAAAAAAAAGATATATATACATATATACAGGGCTTTACATTAACTTTTTTAATCACCGGCCACTGTGGCTAGTAGTTTTCCAATGTTACTAGCCACTCTGCATTTTCACTAGCCATAATTTTGTTGTTGGGAAAATATATTTTATATGCATAAATTTGACTTTGACAAGCTAAAATTACTTGATTTAAATGATTTCCATGCCTCCTCATTCATTTCACTTTTTATGTGTCGAGTATGCGCTTGTTTAATGCGCATGAGCAAATGGGTTGTGGCTTCATGGTGTTATATTGCAATTATTTGTGTATTTTATGACTTTTCAGAGCTCAAAGGTAAGGATTTACCAAATTTATCTCTATAACCACACTAAACAATAATTATTTCTTAGCCACAAGTTTTAAATGTGTCAAAACAAGCTAAATATAGCTGTATACTATACTTTTTATTTAACAAAACATTTCTAAAAAAAGAAAGAAAAGCAATTGACTTTTAAAAAATAACTAATGTCATGTATCAAAAATATGCACATTTTCTGTCCTTGCTAAAGATCTCTGGGGTCACCAGTTAACTGCACATAAATGGAGAGTTTATCTCCCATTAAAGCAATATTGTAAAAAAAAAAAAAAAAAAAAAAGATCAATAAACCATTTTTACAAAAATAAAAGCAAATAAAACATAAGCAAATGAAAGCAGGTAAAAAAACATACCGTGTGTGATAATGAAAGGATGATCAAATGCTCACGGTTAACTTTAGGCCAATTAATAATCTGTTTATAGTGAAAGCAACCGGTGCTGCTTACAAAAAGACACATTTTGAGCTCTTGAAAGCAGCAGGACTGTGAGTACATGTTCATCACTTTTTGTCTGGTCTATTTGAAAAAGAACCGATCATAGTTGCTTTTCCAGACCCTGTTTGAGACACGGTTGCCTCACGAAAGGAAACGGGAGCGTGCACGCGTTTTAAGCAGTCGCTCGCATTACATCAGCTGTTAGCGCAAGTGATCATCATCCTCTCATTCAGTATTCACTTGCTTTTTTTTCTGCTCGCGTGATCACAATTATCCTACTTCTCGATTCTAAGTTTACATTTGCAAGCATATGAGTCATCCTTATATTGTCGAACCCTGCTTTTAAGAAAACTACAATTTAAAAATTATTTTCAACCAGCCAAAGTGGCTAGTGGGAGCGACTGTCTAACCCGCCAAAGCTAAAATCTACCCACATATATATATATATATATATATATATATATATATATATATATATATATATATATATATATACATACACATACACACACACACTGGTCACCTTATTAGGTACACCTCTCCAACTGCTTGTTAACACAAATTTCTCTGCTGCAACTGTAAATGTATTTAAGCATGTAGACATGTTCAAGACATGGCACAACACATCTAACCTTGAGGCGGATGAGCTACAGCAGCAGAAGACCAGTATGTATGAGTTTGTATATGGTATGCATGACCAAATATTAACTCTAAAAAGTATTATAAAAGCACAGCATTATAAAATGTAAAATCTCAAATAAAAAATCACCTCATTCTAGTAGAAACACATTTATTTAGCAGAGTATGAAAGGAAGTGATTGACATAAGTTGTTTATAGCTACTGGATTAGTAAATCTGCGTAGAGTGCTTGCTTCTCACCCGTCTGTGTCTCCTCTCTGCAGCAGCGAGCTGTTTTAACAGTTTCTCCTTCATGTTGGTGCAGTGGGCCATTACCAGCTTCAACACACCCAGCGGATTCAGACACACAGGACTCTGCCTTCCATCATCCTGAGCCTGCGACAGCTCGCTGTCCCTCAGCAGTGCTACAAACGGGTCGCTGAGGTCATACTGTCCATATCGCTCCTGTACAAATGTGTTTCTCTGTTGTGCCTGAAAGAAAAGTAGAATAAATGTCAATATTTGACCTCACTATGACGTTGGTTTAAGATGTTGGATTTTGGTCACTTTCCAACACAACCTAAAATCAACCACATATCAACGTCATTTGACATCAATATTGGACATCAAAATATCGACATCATCATTGGACGTCAAAATATTGTTGTCCTTGGACGCTGGCTAGACATTGAATTTTGGTCACCTGACAACCTAAATCTATTCTAATATCAATGTCTTATAACATTGTGTGCCTGCTGCGATACCTTTAAGATTTGTCAGTGCCATTATTTCAATTTAGGTTTATTTTTATAGCGCTTTTCACTATAATTACTGTTTCGAAGCAGCGCTACAAACGGTGCACATTATTGCATTACAATCAAATTAAGATAAGTTAAGGTTATTAGTTACCATAAATGTATTAGTTACTAAGAACTTTACTAATTAATTTGTAACCAATAGCTTTTAACAGTTCAAGTTATTATATATATTTAAACATAGTTAACCTGCAGTTATATATTATATAGTATATTTTTGTTTGTTTTTGCTTGTTTGTTTGGCAATCGATGATTTACTCCTCTGTGGCAACCCCTGACAAACACCATTACAAGAGGATGATAGAAAATACAGGTTTAAACTACCAAGACATTTTTTATCAGTCACAACATTCATGAGAAAGTGCAGACATGGCAAGTTACTGCATGACAGACTGTGACTTAGAAGTAATGACGTCAGGCTTATAACTTTTTTCTGAAGATATATTTACAGTGAAATGTACTGTGCACTCCATCATTTTAAAATATCTTTTAAAAGGGCAGGACATGCAGTAAGTCAGGAGAAGTGTCATATTTTGCCACAGAAGGCAAATAGGGTCATATTTCCACAAGAAATCTGAAATTTGAAGCTGGTTTGTGGCATAACAAGAACAGGTGATTTCTGGCTGCAAATTGGCTAACTTTACAGCTAATAAAAACATGTTTACAGCCTGGTACAAAAGATGGCTTTGGTGCATATAACTAATATTAGCCATCATGACAACTGAGGGGGGAGAATTTTTTTACAACTCATCCGTTTCGGTTTTATTAAGTTTTATTAAGTCTGCATAATTAAGGGTGTGGCCACTTGAGAGACAGTCAAGTCTCGCTGTTCTGTCACCTCAACTTATTCCAGCTGATTAGCTGCTGAACTCGCCATATACATCGTATTTTTGATTTGTTTAATGTTTATTTACAGTCAGTTGCCGTTTGGAATTATTTCCTGCAATTATCAGATACTACACCATGCTGTGTGCACTTAATTGTGTTCACAAACCGTTCAAGTTGCCTCCATTTCCCAGGTAAGTGAAATCATATACTTATATACTATATCTAAATGTATTTGTTTTATTTAAGATAATTTATGGAATGACGTCAGGCTTATAACTTTTTTCTGAAGATATATTTACAGTGAAATGTACTGCACATTCCATCATTTTAAAATATCTTTTAAAAGGGCAGGACATGCAATAAGTCAGGAGAAGTGTCATATTTTGCCACAGAAGGCAAATAGGGTCATATTTCCACAAAAAATCTAAAATTTGAAGCTGTTTTGTGGCATAACAAGAACAGCAAACTACCTTGCTGCTACCAGTACTGCAAATGTTATTCATGTTAAATTATTATAGTTGGTTTAGATGATTAAGGTTTTAGGCCCAAGCATTTTTTGTTTTTAATAGATGTCTAATAGACATCTAAACATAGCTGTCTTGGCTAAAACAAGGCTAAATTTGGGCAGGCAGTGAAAAATTAATAGATGTCTAAGAATAAGCCAAAACTACACTAGTCATCAAATAAACAGTAAAGAGCGACTACGTATATAATGTCTGTATAATCTGTCTATTTTGGTCTGTTCTTAAATGTCTATTAGATTGTCACTGACAGCCCAAGTTTAACCTTATTTTAGCCAAGCTTTCTACGCTTAGATGTCGACTAAACACAACATTGTTTGCTGGGTACTGTTTTAAAAATAATCAATTTGGCACCAGTATTGTACAAAAACCAAAATCATACCCAACCCTATTTGATCCTGAGGTAGTTGAAAAAGAATTAAAGAAAACACCCAAAAAGTATCGCAGAGGATTATATTTTGAAGAAAGCTAGAAACTTGTTACCATTGACATCCATAGTATTTGTTTTTTTTACTATGGGAGTCAATGGATACATGTCATAAATGTTAATAACCACTTGAGGGTTAGTAAATATTGGGTACATTTTCATTTGTGGGTGAACTATTCTTTATTATCAATGAAAACAGTAGCATGTCTTGACCGACCACTTATGTAGAAATCAAATGAATGTTAATAAGTGGAAATGGGTAACAGATTTTTAAACACACATTGACGCAAATACAGCTGGCCTCTATCAGATTCATTTTCTCAATCTAATAGCAGCCCTGACCCCTCCTCTGCAGGCAGGTGTTAAACCTCCCCTGGGCCGTAGCGATGGAGAGAGGGGGCTCATGCCACAAAAGGCCCAGCTGTGGGGGGTGTTGTTCGCTACTCATTGTGCATGTTTGTGCTTGTGTGAGGGCTGGAATTGGGGGCAGTGTGACTAATTTAGAAGGGATGGGGTGGTCTCACTAAATAGATCAGCAGATGGGAGGCGCACACGCACACACTAACACATACTAAACGAAGGACTGGAATAGACATGTGGTTTATGTTCTGGGCGATAGACATGCTGTATCCTGCAGTATTTCTTATTCCTCTCAGTCTCTTCATGCTGTTCTTGAGGTCACTACATTCTTCTGTCTTTGAATCGTACTTCATTTGTGTGTGTGTGTGTGTGTGTGTGTGTGTGTTTGTGTGTGAAATTTGTTGATTGGATGAACAATTGGATTGGATTTAGATATGATTGGACTGAATGTTTGGAGCCAGCACGGTAGCACAGTAGGTAGCACAATTGCCTCACAGCAAGAAGGTCACTGGTTTGAGCCCCGGCTGGGTCAGTTGACATTTCTGTGTAGAGTTTGCATGTTCTCCCCATGTTGCGGCTGGAAGAGCATCCAATACGTAAAACAAATGCTGGATAAGTTGGCTGTTCATTCCGCTGTGGCAACCCCTGGTTAATAAATGGACTAAGCCAAAAATAAAATGAATGGAAAAGTTGTCATATATCACTACAGACAAGAATATTTAACTTTAATATTATTTTTATTTAATATATTTAATATTAAGTTATTAGGAATTGAACACATTTTTTTTAAGTGGTCGGAAACTTGTAAATAACTCATGAAAGTTGCATTAAAACCAAACCATTGTTTTTCTTGTGAAATTCCCAGTAAGTTTGTGTCAAATGACCCTCTTCCTATTGAAAAAACTAAAGTTGGATCCAAGATGGCCGTCTTCAAAAGGGCCACTATGGTCACCACCCATCTTGAAAAGTTTGCCCCCTCACATATACTAATGTGCCATAAACAGGACCTTAATATCGCCAACCATTCCCATTTTATTAGGGTGTATCCTTATAAATGGCCCAACCTATATTACTTTAACACAAAAAATATAATATGCGATATAGTTCTAATACATTATCCTTCCCTGAACAATAGTCAAAAATAATCTTCTCATCAGCTAACATGTAAATGATGAATGCATAACTGGAATTTTTCTGAGCACGCCTTTGTGTCCTCCTTAACACAAACACAACACAAAAATAGATTTTTTATCTTTTAGATCAGTTTTTAACCAAGCAGACTTCGAGAGTCTCCACCTTTTGAAGGTTATTATTGTCTAATCATTAGATCTGGAACTCAAAGTGTTTCAGTAACAGAGAATGACAGAAGGTGTGGATGTATTGGGTGTGAGCACAATCAGCACAATCCTGATTTTGTAACCACGATAAAACATCCACAATGTATAGTACATATAATGAAGCCTTGTGAGTGTACGTTTGTCTCAGAGCACCAGGCTGAATAGTTTATTTTTTCAACATTAGCCTTAAGTAGCACTGCATACAGTCCTACTTAACATCATTACAGTAAATTACAGTCAATTTCCAGCCCTAGAGGCCTCAATCTGTGGCCTCTGAATGACCTGCTCTGGAGATGAGAGAGACACAAAGAAGAAAACTGATCAGACAGCGGAAAGGCAAACGTTATTACTATTGCCAGTGTTAGGTGTAAAGTATTAAAAAGTAATGCATTACAGTAACTAATTACTTTTTACAGTAACACTGTAGTTTAAGGCATTACTGATACATTTTCTGTAATATTTTACTGTATAAATGTAATTAATTATTATGGGTGTTGTAGTCTCCATATCGCACAGGACTCAGGCAGAAATGATTTTTCATCATGGATGGTGAGCTGATTTATTTCTTAGAATAGATTAGATTCTGCTCTTCTTCAGTGGCTATGTGGCTGTTAATCAAGACAACGACAAGGTTTGTTTGAGCTCCGGTCAACCATGGCTCATTATTATATGTATATATTGTAACGGTGTAATGTCTTGGCTGTGTATTTAAAAATGGCAGTTCAATTGTTGTCATTCTCCTGTCTTGTCGCACATGCTAGTGATGCTTCTCTGTAAACCATTGGCTTTCAGCTGCGCACCTAGCTCCGCCATTTGGTACCCTTTTGTCGTTCTTGGTACACGTTGCAAAGGGTACCCAGAAAGTGGTACTGCATGGTACAGTTCGCTTTTTGTTTCCTTTTGACAGTGGAGACAATCTGCTGGGTCTTAAAAAATCTTAAAATTTCCTAAATTTAAAAAAAACTAATTTTAGGCCTTTAAAAGTCTGAAATTTTGAGGTGTAGGTCTTGCATCTTTTTGTAACAGGTCTTAAGTTTCCTTTGTTCATGTATGATTACCCAATTTGGCCAACACTCATCCAATAAATACTGTACATAATAAAACTTTTAACTTATTTATTTAAGAATGCACTTTTCAGCTCTATTTATCATAATGGTTTAATTGTTTTCCTTACAGTATTATTTGTTTAAAAAGTTCTCCATGTGTTTACTACTGAGGAAGCTGACCTGGACAGACTTTTGTGCATACATTTAGTTTATTTTCGTTTTTAAAACCTTTATAACATTTTTTGTTCATTTTAAAGAAAGGATATGTTGAAAAAAAGTTTGTGTACAACTAGAGCTTGCTTGTTTTGACACAATATTTAAAATATTTTGCTCAATTAACTAAAATATATATTTTTTGAATGATTAAATTATCATTATAGTATTATTAAATATATATATAAAGTTTTATAGGGCAAATAAAAATCTTTAATGGTCTTCATAATCATAATAGTCTTGAAAACGTCTTTAAAAGTTCTTACATTTAACTTGCTGGAACCTGCAGAAACCCTGATTAAAGCATACTGACCTGTACCGTTCTGTACCACTCTGTGAAAACGGGCCATAAGGTTCTTGGAGAGTGTACCTATGAAAAGTGAGTGTAAGTGAACCATGCTAAAGTCTGAAAAATTGGCTTGACAGTTTTTCTCGTATAAATATGATTTTATCCTATGTGTGTGTCAAATGTAAAGAATAAACAACAACTTTGAATTATTAGAACATAATGTACACTGGATTGTACTATTCTCTTATAATTCAGTGGATCTGAATCGATTATTCAGAGAGCTACAGTCGGTTACCACACCTAAAGACATGTTTTTTGTCCTCAAACCACTGCTGTGTCTAGGACTAGTTTATTACGTAAACAATACAAAGTCTTGTTTTGATTTGACCTGCCTTAAACTACTTCAGCAGTGCGTTTGCCTCAAAATAATGGCACACCTTAGCTAATTATCAGCAAATCAGAATCAAGCAAGTTGTAATGAATGTGCATGACAGAACAGGACGTGGTTTGTGCTGTTGCTGTTTTTAATCAAGCTCTTGCTGATCTGAGGCTCTCTGTCGGAGACATAGAAGAATCAGGAGACTTCCTGGAAGGAAGTTCACACAGAAGGAATCCTCCATCCCTCTAATCAACACACAGACACACACTGCAGGAGCTCAGAAGTGTGAGGAACCGCATTGCTTTTCTCTGTGATTGTGTGTAGAAACGAGTCCGCTTTATAAAGTAAAACAGCTCTCTATTAGGACAGAACAAACTGGCTTGTTCAGTTAGTGATTTAACATGGAATTCCCTATTCATCAAATTCCCCGTTCAGAGACCTGTGAACAGGCCTGATTTTTTCTTTATAAGGCCTAGATGATGAAACAGCGAGTGAGTCATATTAACGGACTCATTCCCGTTTTAACCGCCAGCCCTCAGGATATTGGTTCCTCCATTACATCACAATGAGCCATGGGAAAATAACTCAAAAAGGAGGAGCATAAAGTGAGCTGCTGTTTCTGGAGCTCATCTGGAGGCTTCCTGAACATCTAATGTAACTGACACTGTTCTCCCAGCATGCACTGCCTCACCACTTCCAGGATATACAGGAGTTTCTGAAGGCATTAAAATAAAAGACGCACACAAACACACACACACACACACACACACACACAAACACACACACACACACACGCACACAGACTACTTATGATCAAAGACTCAGAAGCTCCCTCTGTGAATAAAGGCTTTACTGGTCAGGAAGAAGTCAAATGAAGCTGTAAAGACACTATTACATACACACACACACACACACACACACACACAAGACACAAACTCACACACTTACTTAGCATCCTGCCTGGGGCTGAGCAGTAAAAGAAAAAGAAGTGTAAGCCTAAAAGAAAGAGACTGAGTCACAAATACACAAACACACTGAGGCTTTGTTCAGACAGGAAGCAAAAATCTGATTTAAAAAATGTGCCTCAAATCCATTCTATAAGTAGCCTGAGCACCAAAACAAGAAGAAATCTGCTGTTTATGAACACATTTCAAACCCCACCCATGTGTTGTTTGAAATCTGACAATCAGGTATTTCCATGAGGCGTTCAGTTAGAGCTGGGCAATATTATCACGATATCATGTTTCATATCATTCGGTATCAAAAATTATTGAATATTTTTTAACAATACAATTAAGAATATTCCGATTTCTTTTTTATTTAACCACTTTATTTTAATTTACCAACCTTACTAGGGCAAATAGTTTCAATAGTCAAAAACAAAAATATTTCAAATATCTTTTCTCTTTATAATGAAATAAACATAAGAGACTCTTAAACTTGATAAGTGAAGTTTATTTATTAACTAATTTCAAGAGGATCATGTGCTTATGATTGCTTGCAGTCCACCTCGCATCATTCAATTTATGATTCGCCAATCAAACAATTCAAAGTTCGATATAACAGCCATCTTCGTTATCAAGATTGCTCCGCTCTGCATCAGCTGCTACTGCTACAAAAGTACTACTTCAAAAACAACAACTACATCTCCAACTATAACTCCAGCAACAACGTCAATGGCAACATTAAAACCTTCCACTTCAAAGTGCCTCACAACTCATCGTCACGGCAGTTGAACACTGCTACAGGAGCACACATAGCATTTGCAACATCAGCTGCTAATACACCACTTCACTTGTAGCGATTACTCTTACCTAAACATTTCACACTCTGCAGAGGTTTCATCTTTACTCCTGCAAACCCTCTCCTGGTACCATCTTTATAACTTTTTCCGGTTATGGCTTTGATCTTTATTGCTTTTTGGGGGGGTTCTTCAATACGCAGCTGCTGTACCAAGCTTATTAAGGCATCTTAGGGAGTTCTCGAGATCTACCTGAGCTCAAACTCCCCTCTCGCCTTGCAAACGGGAAGGGAGCCCCAGGCTCAAGGATCTTTTAAACTCAGGGTTCTCTTTCATGACAGCATGGCAAACAAGCTTTATAATCAATCATCAGCTAAGTGTGAACTCTTGAAATTAAATGTTACAGAGTGTGTGCATTGGTAAATGAAAATCAACATCTGTAAGGTGTGAATACTAATGATACAGTAAACCTCAAACTCTGAAAACAAAACAAATTAGGACAGTCAAATCTAAGCTTTTAAGGTAAAGGAACTAAACATTATCATTCAAATATATATTGCAACATGAAAATAGTGAAGTTGAATGACTACATTAAAAAAAATCATTCATATGAAGAGTTAGCGACTGGGATGCGGGAAAAAAGAAAGCAAAAAGCCAGTCTGGTGACATCCTTACATCCTTTTTTATTTACAATCTTCAACTGCTGCAATACGGCACCCATTTTCGCATGTGTTCGCATACAAAGTGTAAAGCAGATTAGTTAGTGAATCGTGCTGTGCTTAGGGCATTCGGAAAAGTTCAGATGTTTTTCAATAAGGTGCACCTGGAAAATGCACGCACATCGCTCCCATATGCGCGTCATGTTCTTGGCATTCCAAGGCGCATGCTAAGCAGCCATATTTTAATAAAACTATAGCCTTCATACCAAACTTTTTTTATTGTTATTGACAATGGTGTTCGGTCAATATACATACCGATACGGATTAGTAGTTTATTAATAGTTTCAGTAGTTTATGCATCAATAAGTGTTCGACTTTAAGATCTGTTTTCACTGGAAGTAAATTCACACTACCCTTCAAGAAATGTATACTTTTACAGATAAAAAATGACAGAGTTTAAACTGTGACAAAATGTTTTTTTAAAGGATTATTAATTGTATTTTAAATACATTTCTTTTGAATCATGGCTTCCATTAAAAAAAGACCAAAATCTTCAAATAGTAGTCTATGCAAAAACTAATTAAATGCAAACTTCAAACTACTTATTTAAAATGAGCTGAAACAACTAAATTCTTGATTTTTTTTTTTTTTTTTTTTTTTGTGGCAGCTTAATTGTTTTTTGTTCAATCCACTTGAATTTGTAACAAAACAAAAACTAATAAGTCAACTTAATTCATGTTGTCCCAATACAAATCAGCATTTGGAAATTATACAACTGTATTATTTAAGTGATGCAGAAAACACAAAAATAATAGCAAAATAAAATCTTTAAAAAATATTATAATGTATTATAACTTAAAAATTATTACTCAGAATATCATTAAGCAAATTTTAAACCGATGAATCAAAATCAGAGCTAATGTTTGAGAATATTAAAACAGTCACACATAAAAAACTATGTAAATATGAAATGTCAGTCATCCTGACAACAACCTTGAAAATCAACTCAGATTTGAGTGCTAGAGTAAACGAATCCTATTTCACATCTATGTAACAGATACAGCAACATTCAAATAAAAGTAAAAACTATGCAATGTGAATGGACACCCACACACACATCACTCGGGGTAACTTTTTTCTCCCTGTTGTTTTTCTATGTGGCACAAACTAATCCAGTCCAGTGAAAAGAGTCAGCAGTTGATCAGCAGGTCACAGTGAGACACCGGAGCAGCTTTAAAGGCTGAGCCCCTCGTCTCATGTTTCCATCTTTCTCACACACGCCCCTCAACTTCTGCTCTCTGTTATTAACACCATTTAACTCTTTAACTACAGTGTCAGACTGAATAATTACAGGCCTAATAAAACACACATACTATACTATATATATATATATCTCCAGAGGGAACGACTGTTGGCTTCTGTTGTGTGTCAGGACGCCAAAATGAACTACATTTGTTCTAGTTTTGAAGAGGAAAGACTCAATTGAGCGAAGCTGATTTAATTTGTGTGCTTATCAAAGCATAAAATGAAATGGAAGACAGAGAATTAACTGAGAAATCACAGAGAAAGCTTTAAGGCAGGGCTCTATGCCAACATTTTTTCTTCACGGGCACTTGGATTAAGTAGATTTTAATCATTTAAGGTCAATGTGTCATAATAAAACAGATGGCTTGAACAAGCAGCTGCTGAAAGGAAATGAATGAATTGAAAGTGATTTAAAAAAGTGATTTTGATATGTATTTTGAGGTTTTTGAGATGCATTTAGAGCAGAGGTGCAAAAACTTTTTCTTATGAACTTGATAAATATAGTTGGATACAGTATTTTTTAATACAGTCAAAACAAAACAATCTCATTTATAACAGAATGACACTAGTTTTTGACCTGACTTGCTCACCAGTGTCTGCATAGTCCTCTATCTGTTGAATGACAGTATTTATATTTTAAAGAAAATCTGATTTATTCACAGGATTATTTAATTCGAGTTTGCTTTTTTTTTTTTTTTTTTTTAAAAATTCAAGCTGCAAGCAGCAATGAAAGGGACCTCGTACTAACAAAAACATGTTTGAAAACTGAAGTGATGATCTCTGTGTTAAAAGCATTTGCCCAAACCCTTTCCATCATTCTTACTATACTATAAATTGGGATGGCAGGTCAAATCAAAGGTTACAGAGGGCCAACTTTGGCCTGTGAGACCTACTTTGGGCATCTCTGATTTAGAGACTTAAATTAAATTATATCTTCTAAAAAAAGCACATAATAGGCCCCTTTATCAATTTATTAGGTAATGAAAAACTCACCGTCTTGTATATGTGATCATGTTGTTATTGAGTATTTAATTTAGATTTATTACAGAAAAAATATTTACAAGATACATTTGAAGTCAGAATTATTAGCCCCCTTTGAATTGGTTTTCTTTTTTAAATCTTTCCTAAATTATGTTAAACAGAGCAAGGAAATTTTCACAGTATGTCTGATAATATTTTTTCTTCTGGAGAAAGTCTTATTTGTTTTATTTTGGCTAGAATAAAAGCAGTTAATAATTGTTTAAACACCCTTTTTTTCATCACACATTTTTTATATCACATTTTTTTCTCGACTGTCTACAGAATGAACCATCGTTATACAATAACTTGCCTAATTACACTAACCTGCCTAGTTAACCTAATAACCTAGTTAAGCCTTTAAATGTCCCTTTAAGCTGTACAGAAGTGTCTTGAAAAAATATCTAGTCAAATATTATTTACTGTCATCATGGCAAAGATAAAATAATTTTCAGTCAGTTATTAGAAATGAGTTATTAAAACTATTATGATTAGAAATGTGTTTAAAAAAAAATCTTCTCTCCGTTAAACAGAAATTGGGGAAAAAATAAACAGGGGGGCTAATAATTCTGACTTCAACGTATGTTAACATACATGGTAAAATTCATCTTCATTGATATATTTTATTTTTGATGATTATTTTTTAAATGTAAAAAAAAACAACAACAAATATTTGAATAACTCACAATACAAATTATTACATATTAATAACAGTTCAGACCTATGTAGCCCTACTAAGATGAAGACTGGTCATGAATATTGATTATATTAACAGAAAGGAAGGTGGTTTCTGTACTGGGTTGCAGCTGGAGAGCATCCGCTGTGCAAAACATATGCTGGAATAATTGGCGGTTCATTCCGCTGTGGTGACCCCTGATAAATAAAGAGCTAAGCCGAAGGAAAATGAATAAAATGAAAATGTAGGTGCACTAATCCTGATAAATTAAACATACTGTTATTATGAGGAAGCCTTGCTCATTCGTTCTGATGAAGCAAGGAAAAATAATAATGACATATATAATCATTTAATAATCATTTAATTAAGATTAATGGTCTGCTTTGATCCAAGGTGTGTGTGCTTGTGTGTTTGTGTGATTTACAGGAATAGTATGCCTGTCATTGTTCTCCTCTCTGACTCTTTCCTGAGAACCTCCTCTCACACACTTCCTGTGGTTCCTGACCACCAGTACATACCAAACACACTGATCACATACTGCCCGTTATATAACTCAGGTCAATACAGGGCAGAGAACAACTACGCTAAACAAAATGTACCATGGTTTTACTACTAAATAAACAAACAAAAAAAGGTGTGAACAAAAAAAGGGAGTTAAACCATGTTACGTTATTGAACACTGTACACTGAACACTGTTACACATCGTAATAAATTTGCCAAAAAAAAAACTATAGCATGGTTACTATACCTTAACCATAACAACCACTGGTTATTTATTTATTTGTTTATTTATTTATTTATTTTTTGTAAATGACAAGTAAGCTATCGTAGGTTGTTTTTCCAACCAAGTAAAAATGGTCATTTTTCAATGTAAAAATCTGATGTTGACAAGCCCAATGCAGCAATATTAGTTCAACTATTAACATACAGTAAGTCTCTAGGCTTGTTTCAAGCAACTAAACAATAAAAAGCTAAATCATACTAGCATTGTGCTAAAATGTTAGCAATACCTAGCAAAATGTAAAAATGAGAGTTTTGGACAAAAAGGCATTTATCAAGAAAACAAAACAAAGATCAGTATATCCTTGATAAAAAATTAACAAAAGTTTTATTGTAACAAATACAGGTGTGGTAACCATGTTTTGGACAAATTGATTTGTCATTCTTGTAACCACAGTTTTGCTACAACCCTCATGGTTAAACTGTGGTTATTGTAGCAAAACCTTGGTTACTTGGTGGTTACCACAGTTTAACTACAAAAAAGAATGATTTTTTGAGAAATAAGTCAATGCACATTATTCATTTTATTGATTGATTATATAGTTTGTACAATATAAAAATAATGTAAATGGAAATTCATGAAGTTAGCTGTACAAATGTATGTGTGCAGTGGAAAGCTAAATTATGTGAAATTATGTGAGTCCTTCTGTGAAATTTGAATTCTTTGTCAAAATCTCCCAACTGCTGTTTAACATAAAGATTTTTTCAAACATTTTCTTTAACATGATGGTTTTAATATAGAATTTTCAATAGATTTTTTTTTTCTTTAACTAAATTATATGCTATTTTACTGGTTATTTTGCTTTACAGGCTTACAGTAACTAGGTTAACTAATAAGTTATTAAGTCTTTGGACAGCTGTGGTTTGTTCTTTAGCCAATTGAAGAAAAGAATTTCTTAAGTTGGCAAATAATTGTAACAATTTATTTATAATGATTTAATTTCTGTCTATTTATCATACAGTGAAAGTCAGAATTATTAGCCTCCCCTTGAATTTCTTTCTCTTTTTTTAATATTTCCCAAATGATGTTTAACAGAGCAAGGAAATTTTCACAGCATGTCTGATAATATTTTTTTTTTCTGGAGAAAGTCTTATTTGTTTTATTTTCGACTAGATTAAAAGTAGTTTTTACCTTTTAAATAACATTTTAAGGACAAAATTATTAGCCCCTTTAAGCAATTTTTTTTCGATAATCTACAGAAAAACCATCTTTATACAATAACTTGCCTAATTACCCTAACCTACCTAGTTAACCTAATTACCCTAGTTAATCCTTTAAATGTAACTTTAAGCTGTATAGAAGTGTGTCGAAAAATATCTAGTCAAATATTATTTACTGTCATCATGGCAAACATAATGGTGGGAGGGTGAATAATTCAGAGGGGCTAATAATTCTGACTTCAACATTTTATATATATATATATATATATATATATATATATATATATATATATATATATGTGTGTGTGTGTGTGTGTGTGTGTATATATATATATATATATATATATATATATATATATATATATATATATATATATATATATATATATATATATATATATATATATATATTGGCAGAAATAAAATCAATAACTTATTATATATGCATAGTTCTGTCTGGTTGTCAGATATGATTGGCTGATAGCCGTGCGATATTTTGCAATAACAGCACTTGTAAAGCCTCTTCACCCTTCTGTATTACTCTGCCCACTTAGACAGCAGATCAATAAACTCTCTACAGTTTGACAAGTGTTGGACAACATAATGTACTTTTGAGGCTTTTTTTAGACAAGAATGTAGTTGTTTAGATTGCATCTCTGCAGTTTATTTATCGGGATAGTGCCTATTTTAAATATTTATCATTTCAGAGATTCAGCACGTTGGCGGTCATCAGCCTGTTATGGAGTAGAGCGAAGAAATTGATAGTTGATGCTCCGCCACAAGATGGGGACAGAGACCACATAATAAGACCTTAGAGAGAAAAACTCAGCATGAACTTCAAACTACAGGTGATCAAATCATTATAAAACAATTAAGTGACATTTTAAGTCAGTGTTTCTCTGGTATGTTGTATTGCTAGTGTTTGCTCTGCTTTGGCTTTTTCAGGGTTAATTATTGTGATAAACCGATTGCAAGAGAGAAATACTGAGTAATCTCTGCAGCCCTAAAATCTTAAAATGTGAGTAAAATCACCTGTTTTGTCAACATTTTAGACATTACGCTAGAGAATCATTCAAACACAAACTCTAAAGGGATATTGGTGAATTAGCAAAGGTTTCTGCTGTTCTGACATCAAATGCAGATGTGAATGAATGGCGGAAAAAAAGTAGCTCCTCATAGAAAAGGGTTTTTAGACTCTCTGTGTTGGATGTCTTTTGATATACACGATTATGTCATCAAACTGTTGTATAAACGCAATATCACATGAGTAACAGTGCGATATTGCTGTATATCGTCACTGGTGGGAAACTACGACACTGCCTGTGGCCTTGGAAAATGTTCAAAAATGGAAAATAACTTGGAAAATGTTCGAAAAAGAATTTAAATTTCAAATAAGGGTTGTCACGATACTGAAATTCGATACCAATAGGTACTGAGATTTTAAAAACATATTTCCTGGGAAAATTTAAGCGTTGTCAGCTTATATACTAACCAGCTGATTGATGCTGTGTCTTTGAAACGCTCCAGTGTCCCTGTGACTGTGGTTATACTCAGTAAACAGCGGTGAGTTCAGTGAACCAATGACCTTTCACGGCCAATCACGGTAATTTTTGTTGAGCACATGAACACAATGGCAAATCTGCACTTTTTAGGAACATGCTCCACAGCGCTTAAATGTTTGCGGGAAATGGATGTTTTTAAAATTCCAGTATCGATTGGTATCGAATTCCAGTATCGTGACAACCCTATCTCATGTACTTCAACTGTATGTGTAAACACTCTTACCCTGAGTGTGTGTATGACCACATCCTGCGCTTCCAGTTCTCCTTCCAGAATGCTGAGCAGCATCAGAAGTTCAGCTTTACTGAGAGTCTCCACATTCATCCTGCTGCCCTAAAACACACACACAGAAAAATTCAATATCAGGATCCTGAAGCAAAACCACTGATTTACAAGAGCCACAGGCCTGACAACGCACACACATACACACACAATGCTTAAGCAGGTCATGTATAACATAACTGTACCCAGACCAATGAAACAGGATCATACCACACACAGATCAATTTCACTGGCCTAGAAATGCAATAAAATTCCACACGTTGCATCAGTGATTTTCCCTTGATCTGACATGACATTTACGCGAGTCTGGCATTCGTGAGGATTAAAACACACACAGCAGTGTTCAGCGTCTCTGCATTATGGTCTGGCTCTCCTTCAGACCACATAAACACAGGAAGCTATTAGCATATCAGCACAGAGGTCTCTAGTGAACCAGTTCAACTTCCCTTCTGTAATGGATTCCCTCAGTCTATTAACACACATAAGCACACACACAAGCAGTTGTGAATAATATCTCTGTTTACTGCAAGCGACATGGAGGGATTTGCATGCAGCTGCAGTGTAATGGATGGTTATTAAGGTTTGGCTTGTTGTGTCTGAGTTTATATTTTCATTCATGATGGCGCAAAGGGACAGGAAGAAACCTGCCAAACATCTTAACACAATCTCTAAATATATAAAACGCTGCTAATTATGTTCATTCTCTATAATTATTCTCTAACCAACAGCTGAACAGCAGCATTTTCATCATCATCATATAGCCAGTTCATACAAAGTCATTGCTGCCTGCTTGATTCTGATTGGTCAACACAATCTCACGGCAATTCGTAACTTTTTCATTTAGTGGCTAATTCGTATGAATTCGTACGATCTAATTCGTACAATTTAGTACGATTTGCTTATCCCCCAATGACGGTTGGGGTTAGGGGTGGGGTCAGGTGCCACGCCTCCTTTTTAAAATCGTACCATTTTGTACGACTGAACTCGTACGAATTCGTACGAATTAGCCACTAAACTGGCAAAACGTAAAATACTTACGTTTTCTCGTGAGATCAGGCTGGATTGGTTGCAGGAGTGATTACTTTTCATAACGCCCCTGCAAAGAAGTAGTTCCAGCTTTGACAACTGCATATAATTTTGCCACATTCCTATCTTATTTGGGTGCAAAAGTACTCAGGAATAAAAACAAGAAAAGATAATTTAATGTGGTACTATAATTGATGATAAATGAATAATTGAGAATTATTGCACATCGGAGGTATAAAATTGACTGTGTCACCAACGTTTGATTACAAGTAATAAGTATATAATAAAATTATATATACATACAGTTCTGTCTGTTTCTCGAATCTGATTGGCTGATAGCCCCGTGATATTGTGCAATAACTGCACTCGTACAGCCTCTTCACCCTTGTGTATTACTCCACCCACATAGTGACAGCAGATCAATAAACTCTCTACAGTTTGACGAATTTTGCTGCTGTTGGACAACATAATGTACTTTCAGGATTTTTTTAGTCGAGATTGTAGATGTTTAGATTGCAGCTCTGCAGTTTACTTATTGGGATAGTGACTATTTTAAATATTTGTAACTTCAGAGATTTAGCACGTCGGTGGCCATCAGACGTCATCAGTCATTAGCTATGTTTCCATCCAAAAATGTGAATTAACTTTATGCGCAAAACTGGATTATCACATAAAAGGTGTTCGGATAATGCAGTGTTTCAATCCGAGTCAAAGAGAACAAAATCGTCACTTCCTGGTTAACTGGCACCAAAAATCAACAGTAAAACTGAATTTGCTGCAGTAAGCTGCATGAATCTTTTCTTTATTTATTAAATGACATGGAGTGAACGTGCGATTGCATTTGAAGGTGTGAGACGCAGACGCTCTTGACTATTCTGGAGGTAATTAATAATATAATAACACTAATACTGAAGCAATGAAGTTGTTATAAAAGGGCCAAAACAACATTTGCGATGTTTTACAATGTGCTCAGCAGCTGTTTTGTCCATTCACACAAGTTTTTATTATCACATGATCTCTTAATACAAAATCACTTTTTTTAAGCACATACAAGGTTACGCGGTATTCTGAAATGTTTTCAACTCAGTGCACCTGGAAAATCTGGAAAAAGTAACGTGCATGATGCTTGCGTTGCGTCGTGAAAATAACCTCAAGCATATTGGCCATAGGCTTATTCCTTCAAGATGAGCGCTCAACAGCCACATTTTAATAAAGCTATAGTGCTTCATACCAAACTTTTTTCAGCATTATTGACAATGGTGTTGGGTCAACAAATATCGATACGGTTTTATCGGGCCAGCTCATTATTTCTCAAGTTTTCTCATTATTTTGTACACATGTATGAAAAGAAGATAGTGTCACTTGACAGTGATTGTACTTCACTAATAAGACAAAAATACAAAAGTAGCAAACACGTTGCTTTTAACTTTCATTAATCTGTAATACGGCATGTATATCGTCTCAGAAGGTACCTTTATTCTAATTTTTTATTTGTTTTTTGAAGGTAAATAAAGGTGTAGGTTATACAGTGTGTTGTTAAACGCAGAGCTTTATTAAAAAAATACCCTGCAAGTTCTGAAAGAGATCAAGCCTTATGCAGGTACTGTATAAGTAACTCCAAAGTAATGTAACGCATTACTTACTATAAAAAGTATTTAAGTAACACAACTAGTTACTTGTTTGGGGAGTACCTCAACATTGTAATGCAATATCTTCATAAGTTACTTTCCACAACACTGTCACACTTAGGCATGGGCCGGTATGAGTTTCTGAGGGTGTGATAACCTTGGATAAAAATATCAGTTTCACAGTATTGTGATTACTGCTCTAAAATAAGTTCTTTTTTTATTTGTAACAACATTTTTCCCCTTATTGAAGACAATATATGTTATTTTAAGAAACATTTAAAATATTTTGTAACTGTAAACATGTATTATTAAAATACAGTATTTTTAATTTGCTGCAAATCGAAACACAGTAAAACAAATGAGCGCGAAACATGACCAATCAAAACTAGAGATTTTTAAATTTTTTTTGTCTGGAGATAAAAACACAAAAACAAGCAGCTGGTAGCTACAAGGTGTGTGCAAATGTTTCTTATGTTTCTAAAATGCTTTATATTCTTGGTTTAATTATTAAAATAATTAGTTACTTTTATTATTAAATGTAAATAAAACTAAACTTGTGTCTGTGCATCACTTAATGACGTGTGGTTAAAAGGCTAAAAAACAAAAATTAAAAACAAAACTTGCATATACTGTAGGATTGATATGACAGAACATTTTGGCGGTTTTAATACCTTGACTTTTCCAAACCGCTGTAAACCTTGAAACCGGATATCATCCCATGCCTAGTCACACTGTGTCTTTATTAGCAGTAATCTTCAAAAACGCAATGTCCATGGCATTAAAAAAATACATTTGTTGTACACCGAGTGCCATTTCAGTACGTGGAGTAAGTAAGATTTTAAAATGTTTTTCAAAGTCACTTATATTCATATAATTGGTAAAAAAAAATACAGTATTTTTTGATAGAGTAAAAAGTATTACAATTAAATACAGCTGAAACAACAACATACATTATTTTATTATTATATTTGTTGTTGTATTGAAAATAAACTTTCTTTTTCAAATTTATGCAATATTCCTTCTTATTCCTTCAGCTTAGTCCCTGTATCAGGGGTCACTAAAGCGGAATGAACCACCAACTATCCTGGCATTATGCAGCGGATGCCCTTCCAGCTGCAACCCAGTGGTGGAAAACCTTCATACACTCATTCACACACATACACCACAGCCAATTTAGTTAATTCAAATCACTTATACCACAGGTCTTTGGTCTGTGGGGGAAACTGGGGCACCCAGAGGAAACCCACACAAACACGGGGAAAACATGCACACTCTACACAGAAATGCCAACTGGCCCAGCCGGGACTCAAACTCAAACTCCTTGCTGCGAAGCGACAGAGCCAACCACTGCGCCATCGTGCCACCCCATTTCAAAAAATTTTTTTTTCATAAATTAACTATAATATGTTATCATTTTCAATGAAAAATACATATTATCTTTGAGTGAAAACTCTAATGAGCAGTAAGATCAGCATTTAATTTAAATACAAATCATTTTTATTATTTTTTTTTTATTTTAATTAATACATCTTTGCTTAAATATTACTTTAAAAAAAAAAAAAAAAAAAAAAACATACTGATCCCAAACTTCCAAATGGGACTCTCTAAAAAATACTTTAACATGGACAGATTTCTTCACAACCTGTCATAACTCACCAATATATGTTCGAATAAAGATCTAAATGTGGCTTTCGTACATGGTTTCTCCCTAAAATGAGCTCACTTCCTGTCATGGCTTAATCTGGCCTCACATCAATGTTACTAGGATGACTGCAACAAGTATGTTTTCCCCCCTTCTATTGAATAGAAAGTCAGCTCGACCAGACTTAATATAATCTCAGGGCAATGAGGTCACCCAGACATTACTAACACATTACAGCGGATGAGGGCCATTTGTAGAGCCAGAATGTGTGTGTGCTAAATCAGGAATGTACTTTTATGACTCTTGCAGTATTGCCAGTGGAGTCTGTGTGTGTTTTCGTCTGCTTACACACTGATTGGACACAGCTATATTCGCATTAAACTACAGTCACTGGTGTGACTTGATCTCACGCCATTAAATCTTGCCATTTATGGCTGTAAAATACATGATTTGTTTCCTTCTCATAAAACAAATATCATCTTGTCTCATGAGTGTCTCGTCACGCCCGTATTAGTTACAGAAACTTAGTTGTTTGCTTAAGAGTTACACGTTTATTTTCATGACATCATTGACTGATGCTTCTCTCTGGTATTAGTGGTGTGGCGACAAGTTATCAACAAACAACCATAAATAACTGTAATTAAAAAGGCTGTAAACACACAAAATCACATCATCTTTTCCATTTAATCTACTGAGTTTTGGCATTTCGGTTAACTCTTTATTTAATAAATCTAAATAGGAAACAGACTGCATCA